TCCGTAGAGTGTCCTCCGCCTGTCCAGCCGCAGTCACAGTTACCGCCTGCCTCGCCTCTCCCTGCTCCCTCTCCTTACACTGGTCCCACAGGAGGTCTTACAGAGCGTCGTGAGCCTGAGTCTCGTCCTGCGTCGCCTGTCCGTACTGCTCGCACTGGTCGTCGTGTCCGTCGTGAGCGTCCTCCTCCTGTCCCAGGCACTCACTACATGACTCTGCGTCCCTCTACTGCTCCTCAGCGTGTCCCTCTGCCGTCTCCTCCTGCGTCCTCTTTGCCTGCTGTTCCGGACCCTGAGTCTGACCGGTATCGTACTGAGCACCCTACTGTCACGCGTCTCCTAGCTACTGTTGTCACTGACCCTACCTTTGAGTCCTCGGCTGCGTCTGCTCTGGTCGCTGAGTTGGTTGACTTTGCTGCTGCCTGCCGTCTAGACTACGCTGCTCGCCTTGTTGCTGGGTCTGAGTCTGCGTCTGTCTGTCCTCCGTCCGTCGGGGGTGAGTGTGCTCTTGGCACGGACGTCCTTGAGGACAGGCAGGAGGACTTTGACTCTCTCGCGGCTGCTGTACCTCATCTCGTGGCCTGGTTGCTTGCCCCTGAGGGAGACCCGGATGCACTAGACATCCCCACTCCGCGCACTTACGCAGAGGCGATCTCGGGTCCCTACTCCTCTCAGTGGCAGACAGCCATGGACGCCGAGATGGCATCCTGGAAGTCCACAGGCACCTACGTTGATGAGGTTCCCCCTCCTGGGGCGAACATCGTCGATGGCATGTGGATTTTCAGGGTGAAGCGGCCGCCAGGTTCTCCGCCTGTCTTCAAGGCTCGTTACGTTGCTAGAGGCTTCAGTCAGCGTCAGGGGGTCGACTTCTTTCAGACCTTCTCCCCCACCCCGAAGATGACCACTCTTCGGGTTCTGCTGCACGTTGCTGCTCAGCGTGACTACGAGCTTCACTCTCTTGACTTCAGCACAGCCTTCCTGCAGGGCAGCCTGCACGAGGAGATCTGGCTGCGCCGCCCACCTGGCTTTACTGGGTCGTTTCCTCCTGGTACCCAGTGGAGCCTCCGCCGGCCAGTCTACGGTCTCCGCCAGGCGCCACGCGAGTGGCACGACACACTGAGGACTACACTTGCGGCTCTTGGGTTCGCGCCGTCTATTGCTGACCCGTCGCTGTTTCTGCGCACAGACACGTCGTTGCCGCCGTTCTACATTCTCGTGTACGTCGACGACTTGGTCTTTGCTACTGCTGACACTGAGGCACTCGCTCGTGTGAAGTCGGAGCTGCAGAAGAGACACACCTGCACTGACCTGGGTGAACTGCGTAGCTACCTTGGCTTGCAGATCACCCGGGACAGAGCTCGCCGCACCATCACCTTGACTCAGTCACACATGGTGCAGCAGGTCCTTCAGCGCTTCGGCTTCCAGTTCTCCTCACCACAGGCCACACCTCTGGCTACCAGCCACTCGCTCTCAGCTCCACCTCCGGACGAGTCCGTAGAGCCGAGTGGCCCGTACCCAGAGCTTGTGGGCTGCCTCATGTACCTGATGACTTGCACGCGACCTGACCTCGCGTACCCTCTTAGCATCCTTGCTCGTTACGTTGCGCCTGGGAGACACAGGCGAGAGCACTGGGAGGCTGCTAAGAGGGTGCTGCGCTACTTGTGCAGTACATCAGGCATGGGGCTGGTGCTTGGAGGACACGACAGAGTTGTCCTCACTGGTCACTCGGACGCTTCTTGGGTGGACGACCTGGCTACGCAGCGGTCGTCACAGGGCTACACCTTCACTCTTGGCTCTGGTTCTGTCTCGTGGCGGTCCACCCGCTCTTCCTCTGTTCTCAGCTCTAGTTGTGAAGCTGAGATCTACGCCACAGCCATGGCTGCACAGGAGTTACGCTGGCTCACCTACCTGCTGACTGACTTGGGAGAGCGGCCTAGTTCTCCTCCAGTTCTGTACGGTGACAACAAGGCGGCTCTTGCCTTGTGTCAGGAGCACAGACTGGAGCACAGGACGAAGCACATTGCTCTTCGCTACTTTCTTGCTCGAGAGCTTCAGCAGCGCGGTCAGCTTCGGCTTGTGTACGTGGACTCGAAGGCCAACACTGCTGATATCTTCACCAAGGCGCTCCCGCCTAGTGATCATCAGCGGCACTGTACTTCTTTAGGCCTTGTGTCCACGTTTCCTCACTTGCTCACTGCTTGACATTCTTTGTACTGTACTTTATATATATCTTGTTGCTTGCTTGCTAGGTTTTGATCACTGTGTTGCTTGTCTTGTACTATATCTAGCACTGCATGTGAACTGGCCTTGTGGCCTTTGCTTGTGCTCGGAGTGTGGTGACGTTGTGATCCACCCTGGGCTTGCGTTGCTTTGCTGGACTGGTCTTGTGACCCTTTGTTCTCCCCCACTTTGCCTATGGGGGTGTGTTAAATTGTAATGTGTTATATGTTGGTAGGCTGTAGTGGGGTAGCCAATATGGGGTACAACCCCAACTAGGGTTTCATATTTGTACCCAAACTTCTGCTAGTTCATTCATTCTTGCCTAGCTATTCTGAAACCATCTACACGTCAATGAGCACGGGTTTGGATGAGTGTGTGAAGCATCCGTCTGCTTCAATTTCCAGTGACGACAACGTCACGGTCATCCTTGTCGTGACAGAGAGTGGTAAGCTATAAAATTTCACAGTTGCGTTGTTCTAAGTTCAACTATACGTCAATGATGTGATGTTTTACCTTTTTTTCTTTCCTTTTCTTACCTTCGAAGGAACTTTCAAGAGCCGATCACACAACATGCTATTGGAGCCAAGACTTATGGCGAAGATGATTCCCAATTTTCAGATTGCTGATTTTCTTTCTTCTACTGACGACGAACGAAGGCACTTGTTGCATGCATTGTGTGGTGTCTGGCGCGTGAAGGTGAGCTTTGCGTATCAAATATGATTCACCATTCATGTATTCATACTTGATCATCATGTTATAGATCATTCAATATGTTAATCTTATTCCAACAAATTTCATGTGGTATTCAACTTGCTTTCTTTCTAATTATGACATGAGCAGATACACTTTCGTTACGAGGAATTGCGGATAGTGAAGAGCATCGTGGATATCATGAGCATTCGAGCGTCATCAAGCTCGAATCCCGTCATCACTCCTTCTAAAAGAGCATTTGATGTAAGTTTTGATTTTGGTAGCGCAACAACATATTGAATCTTGTTGAATCTTGCATTTTCATGAATCTTGAGTCCAATTTTCCTTGAATTGAATGCTCGATATCTATCCCTAAAATATATTTGTCTTTACACATTGTTAATCGCAGGTCCTCGAGTGAAGTGTGCGTTTGCTGAACTTGAAATCTTGCTATTGATGGAAGAATTGAACATCTAGTTTTATACATTTAATTAGCTTTTTATATGCATATTGTTTTATTGGTGTTCTCACTCTTATTTTGTCTTTTTTTCTTTAAACTTTTTTTTTTTGCAGGGTTTGCAAGATGACAGCCTTTACTACGATGTTTGTTCAATCATACGCGAGATTAGAAATATTTTTTTGCTAAAATACATTTGATTGCTAGCATAACTTCTTATGGTATTGTTTCTGCTCATGCTTTTCATTGTGTAAGTAATGCACGTCTGCTCGTCACAAAGAGATGACTTACAGATCATTGTCACAAGGTTCAGTGGTGTACCACTATCAAAGTGGATCCATTTTGAGCTGGACTTGATCGGCGTAGTCATTTCTTTGAGATTTGCATATTGTATTGCTTTGTGTCGAGGTTTAACGTCTATACTACTCGATTTCCCCCCCATGCTAGGCTGGGGAAATGGTAGTGTACATATCAGAGTTGCGTATCCAATGTTTATATTATCGCCTCCCCCCATGCTAGGTTGGGGAAGCGTTGATATAAATATTTGTTGTCTTAGCAACGCATTTTTAGTCTTTTTTTTAACCACCCATTAGGCATATTCATCAAGATGATTGGCGAATATGTCTTTCCGACAAGGTTGAAACAAAGAAGAAATACAATGATCCTTTTGTTGGTCATTGTGTTTCTCCATTTTTGGGAGTTTATTATCTCCCTTTTTTTAAGAAATTGAAACTAAACCTTATGTGTTTAAATATAATCACATAATGCATTTTGGATAAGGCAAGATAATGAACAATGGGACATTGTATTATATATGTTTTTTAGATGTTGCTCTGTTTTTTTTATATGCTCAAATTTTCGTTTTTTTTTTATAGAAAAAATCTCGTTTATTTTCTTTTTCCAGTTAATCATAGAAAAAAAAACAATTCAAATCGATTACAATAGGTTGCTCCGCAACCCAAAAAAATTAACCCCTCAGAGTACCCAAATTTGAAACGTCAGCCCGGTGCAAGCAGCTCTATAGGGAGTCCTGCGGGACCCTTCTATCGGTTGGTCCTATACCCGTGAGAATAAAGTACAAGGTTCTGAAACTTAGCCAACTGAAATAGCCAGGGTTACAATCAGCAAATCAGCATCTTTTACACTGATGAATGAGGTCCCAGTTGGGAGATGACAAGTTATTAAAGCATCAATATGGAACCATTGAAACATACCGTATATACATTGTAACAACACAATCACCATATACTACATTTCGAGTCTTCTTAGATGCTACAGTTTCCTGTTCGAGCCTTTTTCACATTCGGAGTGCATATTCTGTTCCCAGGTTTCAACTTTACACACTCATACCCATTCATTCTCCGGTAACAACCTTTGATACTGTAGAAATACTTTAATTCAACGTATTTGCAGTCATCCCCAGGTGAAATGGTGTAGGTGCTGGTCCTCGAACAGATACCAGCTGTGAAGTTGGTGACACTGCCGATGCAAACCTGCAGGCATAGGGAAGAGAGTGGATGGGGTGGCGCAACGCATTGCATTTGTAGCGTAAAATACTACGCACGGCACCACATTCAACACAATCCAAGCACCAAACGGCGTGCACCACCACGCTGCATGCACCAGAGTGACTGACCTCAGCGCCAAAGGTGGTGGCGGAGCGGGAGTAGTTTTTGAGGGGGATGAGCTGGTTGCAGTTGACGCCGGGGTTGAGGCGGTAGAAGGCCACGGGGCTGAGAGGAGGCTCCGCCAGCTGCCTGATGCTGTCGCACGTGTCGCTGAGGCGCGCCCGGTAGTACTGGTCGCACACCACCGTCACATTCGCCTTGCCGGGGTCCCTCTCCAGGCACACGGCCTGGGAGGGGCTGAGGGAGGAGCAGTTGACAGCGGGGTTGAGCGCCTGAAATGCCGCCTCACACTCCGCATCCGACGCCGCCGCCCCACACAGCTCCACCTGCCGTGCCACCCCCGTGCACGTGTCGCCCTGAGGGACCATGGAAAGGAAAGGTAATAACAAAAATTTGGGGGAGAGATGCGAGTGGGGAGGAGTGGCAGAGGGGAGCTTTTTAATATTACTGATAAAACTACAAGAAGAGAATTTCACATAATTGTGCACCAAGAGGGAGAAAGGAGGAGACGATTTGGACTCACCAGCACAGTGGTGTAGAAGACAGAGCATGCATCGACTGTGGAGTTGACCAGCAGAGTTGAGTTGAGGCGCAGAGGAACGGAGCATGAGATGCCCTGTGGAGCAGGGGATGATGGCACACGATAAGGCAATGGCATAATATTGCAGGTACTCACGTGGATGGTACTCTCAAACTCAAGCATCTGCAGCAGGCGGTGGGGGAACGTCACCTTGTTCTGCTGCATGAACTGGTCCAGTGTGAGGGCGAATATGGGATGCACATGGGAGCACCACACGTTGCTCTGGCGCACCGTGTACATCCCCCCTGCATCCCCTGCACCATGAACACCCCCCATGACACACAATGAAATAAATCGGAAAGAATACAGTGGTGCAAGAGAAGAACTCATGTGCTTTCATCAGTGGAGCGGAAACAGCAAATGGGATTCACAAATGGAAGTGCAATGCGTGCTTCCACCATGTACCATGTGCAACTCCATTCAACAATGAGGAAACTGGCTTGCACAGCGTGGTAGATACAATACAGGAAATGGATACGATCCTCACCATTGCGACCCATTCACCATCGTCAGCATAACTTAATTGTCGGGTTTTTCTTTCAATGTGCTGTCCCTTTGAAGAGGGGTGTTACCCGGAGCACAGGAGGAGAGCAGCAGAGGGGTGTTACCCGGAGCACAGGAGGAGAGCAGCAGAGGGGTGTTACCCGGAGCACAGGAGGAGAGCAGCAGAGGGGTGTTACCCGGAGCACAGGAGGAGAGCAGCAGAGGGGTGTTACCCGGAGCACAGGAGGCGGTGTTGGCGAGGGTGGTGCCCTGGATGAACCCCGGCGGGCACACACAGGAGTAGCTGCCCTTGCCATCGTTCACACACGTGCCCACCACACACGGGTTGCGAGCGCTGGACCCACACACGTCCACTGGGGGCAAGGGGAGACGAGTGGGGGCGGCATGGGGGGGGCATGCATGAGCATGGACAGGAGGTGGGTATGCTGTGGCTGTTGGAGGATGTGACAGAACAAGCATGAAAAACGAAATACTCTCACAAGAGCAACTTCACTCAATGCACTAATCTGGAAGTTCCAGAATCACTCAGTGCAAATGCGCACACACCAATGACCCTCCACAGGGCATGTTACCATAGGCACAGGTGTACGACCCATCGGTGTTCTTCACTTGAGCGAAGCGGGCGTCAGTGCACTTGCAGCGATTGCTGGTGCCCTTCTTGCTGCAGTTGAACCGCCCACACGGGTTGAAGACACCGGAGTGTTGGTTGCTGTACTGGAAGGAGTGTGACCCACACGGATCAGCACTGCCTGTTCCACACATCAGGTGGGAATGGGGTGTGGGCACACAGCTAATCTGTTATGGTACAGTCCACCAGCTAAAAAACGACAGGAAGACTTATCAGCCTCACTTCTGACGACGGGGAAGAGGGATGACCCGCATTCTTATCAATGCAAAGTGGACTCAAATCAGAAGTGCACAAAGGTCAAAGGTACTTTGACAAGGTAGCAGTAAAGGCCTCACTTCTGACGACGGGGAAGAGGCCCGGGAGAGTGTTGATGCCGCAGATGCCGTCGCCACTGCGAATGTCCATGCGCATGTGGCCCTGGTCGCCCCAGGCTGTGCCCCATGAGTTGCGGATGATCCAGAAGGGCGGCGGCACGGCGGAGTTGGAGGGGTCGAAGCCCGCAGAGAGGTAGCCCACCACCAGCACCACGTGGTTCAGGTGGTTGCTGAAACACTCCTCGTCCGCGTACTTGCCTCTCTGCCCACATTCACACGCGGTCACACACACACACACACGCACGCACGCACGCACGCACGCACGCACGCACGCACCAACGAGTGCATAAATGATGAGTTGACAGTGCAGCAGTTCACAACACACTCTGCTAGGCAGAAAATCCATAGGAGTGCCATGTTTATAGAAGGGGAGTGCTTTACCCCATCATAATATTGGGAGGAGGGTGCCTTAGAGATGAGCAACCAGCCCGACCCGACCCGACCGACCTGGCCGGGCTACACGGGCTCACGGGTCAGGTCGGGTCGGGTCGGGCCAGGTTCCTGAAGGTTCTGGCCCGACCCGGGCCGACACACTCGGGTCAACTTGGACCCAGGTACGGGTTGGGTCGGGCCAGGCCAGGATGACCCGACCATGTGTAGGGTTCAGTGGGGTGTGTGTTTGTGAATGTTTTTCTTGAGTATCACACATGCTGATGCAGTAAGTACTCATATCCAGCATAGTTATTAGTGTTGTTTCCACGTGTTGCATTACTTATTTATGGTTCTATATGTTTCTTGTTCGGACCAGCTACCTCAAATGCATGCAGTCAACCACACTATAAGATAGCCCGCTAACAAAAACGCGATATCTTACATGGCGATAAAAGGCGGCCAAATCCTGGCGCCAGCACCTTTGCTCGCGTCCGCCCCTACACCCTGCACGCGGCCCCTAAGAACCTCTACGAAATGGTGCAATGTTAGTTGCTGGCGCGCCTATGAGCAACTACTGGCCTGAAACGAGGCATGCAGCCTGTGAATTGAAGTGTCTCTAGTAAAACGTGAAGTTATATATAAAAAAAAACGCCATTCCTGCATCGCGATTTCTTATGAACAGCAGGATACGATAGCAAGCTAGCTATAAATATCTGTCAATGAGGTTTGAATGGGTGGTAAGTAAGTAGTTTCTAAGCTTAGTGACTTGCTTGCTGCCGTTAGGCACGATGGAGAGCGTGGGTAGGTTCTGATGTCGAGGGGATAAAAAACCCCTTGACAACAATTTGACTTAGGGTTTCGTCCTCATGGTGTCGAAATCAGGTCGGGCCAAAACCCGACCCAACTTCCCTGGTCTTGACCCGAATTCGGGTCGGGTCAAATTTGACCTGGAACCTTACCCGACCCGGCCCGAGTTCCATGCTCGGGTCGGGTCGGGTCGGGTCGGGTCGGCCTGCACGGGCAGGCAAATGAAACCACTGACCCGACCCGGGCTAAGCCACGGGTCGGGGGCCGGCCCGTCCTGAGCGGGGCAAGTGCTCATCTCTAGGGTGCCTTACCCCATCGTAGTCTTGGAAGGAGGGTGCCTTACCCCATCGTAGTCTTGGAAGGAGGGTGCCTTACCCCATCGTAGTCTTGGAAGGAGGGTGCCTTACCCCATCGTAGTCTTGGAAGGAGGGTGCCTTACCCCATCGTAGTCTTGGAAGGAGGGTGCCTTACCCCATCGTAGTCTTGGAAGGAGGGTGCCTTACCCCATCGTAGTCTTGGAAGGAGGGTGCCTTACCCCATCGTAGTCTTGGAAGGAGGGTGCCTTACCCCATCGTAGTCTTGGAAGGAGGGTGCCTTACCCCATCGTAGTCTTGGAAGGAGGGTGCGGACGCCTCAATGTGCACAATGACAGGCTGGCGTTGCACTGCCAGCATGAGCCCAAACCACCCATAGAACCCCGTGCGCTCGATGCCCCGGATGCCGTAGTACCTGGTGCTTGCCTGCATGCAAGAAAGGGAAATGTGGAGTGGGACAGAGATCGGGGCAGAATGCCACCGACAACTACGTAACAACACCCCACCGACAAAAAGTATAGGCACAACACCCAAACAATGAGACATCATATTCGTATACAAAAACTCACCAACGATCTCCTTCTATAAACCAGCCCCTGTGAGTACACGGCGTCCTCGAGCAGCCCGTTGCCCTGGTTGGTGGCGTTGAGGAGGAACTGCAGCGCCTTGGTGGGCGAGCCACCGTCGCAGTTGGAGGAGAGGGCGAGGCGCAGATGCTCCACCGACAGCACGGGGGGCTGCGCCCAGCTGCCCGCGATGCTGTGGGCCGCCTCCACCGCTGCCACCACTGCGTATGCCCAGCAATCTCCTGCTTGGCATTAGAGGGGTCGCAATGTGATGGGACTTATGCACTCTCGTGTGATCAGAATAGAACGCTTAGTGATTGCTAGCAGCTTGGTGTCAAGAGACAATCACAAGACCTCTGTGGTAGGATGGGACAAAACAAGGTACGCCAAGTCCTTTTGTGTCACATGCCTCGTGGCCCCACCCGCTAATTTGGTTTGTGTTGGAGCAGGCAAGAGTTCGCTTTGAAACTTATTATGGTTTCTGTGAAAAACAATCTTGAAAAGAAAGTGATGATTGGTTGAAAAAAGAAGGGGGTATACATAGATGGAGCTAGAAAGGGGGGGTGGTTGGCAACCAAGCCAACATTATTGGTCCCCCACCAATTAGTTGAGTTGGGAAATTATTGGTGGGGTCCAATAATGTTGGCCAAGTTGGAGTTGGACCAACATTATTGAGGTGGGGGTAGTAATGTTCTCAAGCCAACCTTTGGGGTCCAATAATTGGACCAAGGTTGGGTTCCTACCCGTAAACCGTGGTTACCCTTAAATGCACACCCAAAGTAAATTTGCGTGCGTATCTCTAGCCTATCCCTATAGCATATATGCAGGTTACGAGGAGAGAAAATTTCTAATAGTTTCATTTAGCAAGTTACATTTGAGGGTTCAGTTTAGGTTCATTTCTCATCATCCATAGCTTCTCGTACCTTCACTATATATGGTATCTAGGTGTAATCCTAGGCATCCATTGATTTTTCTTTATCTACATCTCATCGCAGGTCCTCCCTCTCCTGTTGCGAGCCCTCGCATCTCCATTGCAGCCCCTCGCCAACTCTCGCACGCCCTTTCTAAGGCTGTCGCGGGCTCTATCCTACGCCGCCGCATGACGGCCTTGGGCTGTCGGGGTCCGTTTTAGATTGTCGCGCGCCTTTCTTAGGAGGTCACGCGCATCTCGTTCCTCGCTGCGCAACTCATCTCAGCTCACATGCGTGCCATTACAGGCCATCTGGTATGCCCACTCAAGCCATACCTGCTCCACCCTTTCCATCACCTCATTACACCTGACGCTCCTTCTCGCTCCGTTTCCATCTGTCTTCCTGCAAGGCTGAGCCCTATGCTGGCACCCTTGCCTCGCCTCTCAGGAAGCCCGTTGGCTCTCTTTTCCTTTGGGGGAGTTTGGCGCTCCCCTGTCATCTGTGTTTCTTGCCCGCGAGAGTTCCAACAAGATTCATCTCATTGAAAACTCTGTGTTTCATGGTCGCAGCAAGCACATCGAAGTTCGCAATTTCTTCATACACAAACTTAATCAGCGAGACTTCTTGCACCTTCGGTGTTCGAGGAGCACTGGGATCGGCCTTAAGGTCCTGCGAAAAGGTCACAGGCAAGGATGGCCTGGGGGGTTATGGGCGCGCTCATCCACTATACAATAAAATTTTTTAGCTCAATGGTTAACAGCTGAGGTTTACAACATGGTATCAGAGTGGTCACGAGTTCGAATCCTTGTGCGCACCATGGAATGTGGCTGTGGTCCTAGGCCTACTCAAATGAGGGGGGGGAGGGGTGTTGGAGGAGCATTGGAATCGGCCTTAAGGTCCTGAGAAAGGGTCACAGGTAATGATGGCCTGGGGGCTTATGATCGTGCTCACCCGCTATGGAATAAGCCCTTTTAGCCCTTTTAGCTGAGCTTTACAGCATTCGGAAGGTGACCTCCAAAGCCAACCTTGTCGACATCTTCACAAAGGGCCTCAATTGTGTGCCACATCGTGCGTAGGTGCACACACTTGGTGGAAATCTCACATCTTTCCACTTCGAGGGGTGTTCCCATGCGCAAGGTAACTACTTTAGAGCTTCACCTCGGCTGGGGGTGTGTTGGAGTGGGCTAAGTTTTGTTTTGATACTTATTATGGTGTTGTCTTCTTATTCCTTCATGTCTAGAGCAAGTTACACGTTAGGTTCAATTTATGTTCGTTATACGTTCTACCCTAAAATGAACTTGCCTTAAATTCAATTGAGTTTACCAAACTCCTTGTTCAAATGCATCTTAGCACTTACCTTAGCAAATTTTCATCTTTTCACCATCCATGGCTTCTCTTACCTTCACTTAACACGTGGTGCATGGTGGTAAGTACGATAACTAAATTCACTCCACGCATGGTTGCATGTGAATGCTGTGGCTCAACCAGTCCTCTCATCTCATCTCAACGATCCCTTCCTCTCCGGGCCAAGGTGCTAAGTTTTGACCCATACCTTGCACCTATCCTCAAGGTTAAAAAAAACGGACCGTATTTTACAAAAACCGTAATTTTGAACCTTGCCTATCCTGTGTTCATACCTTGCGGCCATACGACTCACCACATCCCTTTTGGTTCTTGACAGGCCAAGCGGATTCAGGCAGGACCCAGGTGCTGTAGGACTTGAGAGTCCAGGCGGGGGTGTTGTCCTGCGCGGGGTCGAAGCCCGCACTGGCGTAGTGGAAGGCGGCGTTGAAGCCCTGCGATGAGAAGGAGTCCTCGTCCAACACAAACCCCAACGCCAGGTCTGGTGGGTGGAGGAAGGAGTGTTGGGTTGGGAGTTGGGAGGAGAAAACAGAGTTAAGACGAAGGGAACGATCAGTGCGGGAAATTGACTCACGTATTGTGACAGAAAAAAACGCCAAGCATACTCACTTGAAGGGTCAAAGTGCGAGTTGAGCGGAATATCTGCAGCACCCACAGAAGCCAACCACATGGATGGAAAGGCACGGTAGCGATAGCAGCCGACAATACATTGATGCGGAGCCATGAACAACACAAGGAATGGAACAAGTTCCAGCTTTACCAATAAATAAAGTGTACACAAAAGAAAACCAACACCACAATTGGAGAAGTACAATACAAGGATATGCTTACGAACGCCCTCGACTTTGGTCTTATTTTTTCAACCAGACTTATGGCCCCATATTATCACACACACCAAGAACAAGTTACACCTTCAGGTACAAATAAAAAATGGTACGACATCATGAACCACCAATACGTAACAACGTATTGTAATCAATCTCTCTTCAGCAAAACAAGTACCAACATTTCTGAAAGATAGAGGTTGACTGAACTAAAGCGCTTAGCATTCGGGCTTTGCTAAGGCTCACCTGAGAGGCTCATACCTGCAGTGAAGGTCCAGTTGAGGACAGCGTGTGCTTGTGGGGCAGTTGTGGATGCCGCAGTGAAGCCAACGAAGAATGCAGCACTGGACGCCTTGGGCTGCAGGATGGAGCAGAGCGACACTCGGGCTCGCAAGATGGGGGTGGGGGGCTGGTGGGGGTCGGAGGAAAGGAAGAGTCGGAGGGTGCCGCCGCTGGTGGGGTCGTAGTGGATCCAGGCGTGCTTGGTGTGGGCGTCGTTGAGGATGAGAGGGGCCGTGGCAGAGGCGAGGGACACAGGTGAGCCGCCCACATTGACGCCCACGTGGTTGTCGTTGGGGTCGCTGTGCTTCACACTCAGCACCGAGTCAAACTCCACCGCCACACTCCGCTTCCCCACGCCTCCCAGCCGGTCTGGCAGCGCGGCAGAGACGACAAACACGAGCCCATCCCCGCCCGCCTCTGCCTCCGGGTCGAGGGAGAAGGCAAGGGATGCGTTGAAGGCGAGCTGGTAACCGCATGTGGCCTTGGTGTTGAAGTAGGAGAAGAGGGGGAGAGGCGCGGCTGTGAAGGCCGTGCCCCACGTGGCGTTGGCCTTGGGGGTCAGCAGCAGCGCTCCATCAGCAGTGGTCAGCGCCGAGCCACCCAGCACCATGGGGGTGGCGGCAGAGGAGGCCAGCACGCGGTCAACTGGAGATGGGCGTTGGGGGGAGAAGGGAGATGGTGTAGATAGATGTCTTGGTGCACGGTGGTTGATTGCACGACTCAAGTGGAAACCCGTTCAACTTACTTGTGTATGTGCATGTGTGAGGGTTGTTGCGAGTGGAGTAGTGCGTGTCACACGCACACTCCGCTGTCTCACTACTGTCATTCATGAAGCAGTACCCATGCCCGCTGCACAGCGCCTCTGCCTGCCCCACCCCACAGAATGCTGCACAGCTCTCCTTGCTCCTCTGTTCTTCGGTCACCCCGCACAGAGTCACAGTCGTAGACAGGCAGTTCTCTGAGAGCATGAGGCGCACAGCCGCGCAGTTCTTGGGGCGCGTGGGCGCGGAGGTGAAGTAGTTGCCGTGCACGTCCAGCAGCGCCAGGGACCTGGAGGCTGGCATGGGCACGGCGCCCGTGAACTGGTTGCACGCCACGAGCCTGCAGGTCGAGACCAGCACGATGGCGTGGTAAGGAGAAAGGCAGGAGTAAGGAGTGCAACACACGGGAAGGGGAGGACTTGGGCAATGGTAGTATGGGGCAAGAAATGGTTCCAAGTAGAGAGACCAGCATTCAAATTATGATGAGACGTAACAATGCACTCACAGCTTCTCAAGGTTGGTCAGCGGATTGACCATGGGTGCCAACGGTCCTGACAGATACATGGAAGACAAGTCCCTGCACCATACATGCATGCAGCGCAACCATGTGGCACAGGATGGTCCCTTGGGGTCAACAAACAGCATGATTGTTACAGCTGGTGTGACATTCATTTGCTTCCACACAACTTGTAGCTTGGTTGAAGGGACGTATTGCTTCCACACAACTTGTAGCTTGGTTGAAGGGACATAAAAGAAGGCTTACGTAAGCGACACGGAGGTTTGATTATGGATGTAGCTGTGGGTGGACTACTAGTCTGGGCTGGCCGCTGTGCGAAGCACCATGCGCATTGTGTAGCGACGCGAGCCACCACTCTCGTCTCTAAATCTCCCAGAAAAACGATGAATGAACGCAAACAGGAAAAAAGGCTTTCTAGTGGTAGGACTAGCATAAACAAGGAAACCCAATTATGCCAACTTCACTCACGCATTGACAGTTATGGCGCAAAGACGAAGACATGCCACTGCTGGAAGGCTATGTCCAAACTCCAGTCCACTGAAAAAAACAACTGAGCCGCTGGACAAACCATGCAAGTGGCTGGAAGGTAGTGGCGGGACGACTCACAGGTACCAAAGCTTCTGCAGTGAGGAGAGTGCGGGAGGCACCAGACCATGCACGCGCAGGCCACGGAGGGAACTGCATGCAGGCAGGGGGATGCAATGAAGCGTGGGACAGGATTTGAATATTCATAGCATGGGATATGTGTACGCAATTAATTCAAACTTTGAAGGAGAGGAATTGACAACAACATCGACTTGCGTTACGAAGAAAATGACTTGTGCTTTTACAATTACTGTGTATATTTGAACTAGGGCCAGTGGAGACACATTTGGTGTAAGAGAGTGCTGCCCCGCTCCAGCCCTGATGGAACACAGCACAAAACTATGTGTTGTATCTTTTCCTACGTTTCTCATGCGTGATCTGCATGTGAGAACATTACCCACAACAACCCAAAGAGAACATGTTCTGCTTACGACTTCCTCCTTCCACGTTCCCCTTTCCTCCACTGTCATACCTGCAACTGCCGTCGCCATTTTTTCAGGCAATCTAGGCAAGTAAAGGCAGATCACCACCACCAATCCTATCGTTCTCTCCATGTGTAGCAAAGGCAGGTCGACATATTTCACTAAATCTTACTACTTCATTCTGTACTTATTTCTCGTTCAATTCGTTTTGTGTCCATGAACGATGCTTTTAATGTTGATCAATGTTCGTTTACTGTAGTGCTGGCTATTCTCAATAACTGCGCTAGTTGACATGATTCAAAGAAGCATTAGGAACCATCTAAATTTCAAATAAATCTTTGGCGAAGTACACACTCATGAGAATTAGAGCACAAGCAATCCATGGTGATTGCATTGTGAAGCACCCTGCCAGCACGGGCTGTGGCATGCGGAGAGCAGCAGGGATGGGTGGGCAAGGGCGAGCAAGGGCAGGGATTTTGCTCACAGGGCCTCCAGATTCTTGAGGTTGGCCAGTGATGAGGGGATGGTGCCGTTGAAGTCATTCACGCCCACCAACCTGCTCGCACGCGCACGGTCAAGGTGCAAACAACCCTGTCAGATCTCTTTGCTCCTGTCTATTGAAGAGTAGCCGCTGAACCAGCGGCAAGCAAGTACTTGATAGTTGTAGGAAGCGGAGCAGGTGCGTTACAGGATCGTTATGGCGGAGATAGAAGAGACTGAGTGGTGTGTGTCGTACTCACAAATATCGAAGCTCGGACAAATTTCCTAAAAAGGATGGGAGGCTTCCTTGAAAGCGGTTGGAGTCCAGGTGCCTGCAAGCCAGCAATGCTCGTAACCACCACTCATGTCAAAGCGTCAACGGCGAATGCAGCGCTCACATGGTAGTAATGCTCACATTGCAGAGCAGTGGACGAAGCAGCAGGAAAGCCAATGTGCTTTCTCTAAAAATGAATGAGGTGCCATGACAAGTGCGGCAGGCCGCTTATGCAGCTCAAAAGCTCACAACAGCAACGGCAGAGGCAGCATGTTGTGAGATGCTGAACTAACGTCACGGAAGGCCATGGGCAGTGCTCACAATCGAGTCAGCCTTAGCAGCTGTGGAAGAGAAGCGGGCAGGGATCCAGAGAACCTGTTGTTGTCCACACACCTTGAGAGCCACACCGGAATAGGTGGATGGGAATGGCAGAGAAGCAAGCAAGGGGAACCTGCTCAGAAAAGAGTGCGCACTAGCAGTTACCTCTCCCCTGATATAGCTCTTACCAGCTCCAATGTGCATCACAGGGATTCGCAAACAGGAGATGAGCATGCGAGCCTGACTTTTAATATTGGAAACGCAGCACTTTCAGCAGTCCTGTGGCGGAGCAATCAAGTACTGGTGGTTATGATTAACCTGTACCAGGTTCCTTTCTGAGAGTTGTGGTGCATCAACCAACTAAATGGAAAGGTCACTGGCTTTTTAAGTTGTAGGAAACACTTTCGCTAGCTGTCCAGACAGGACCAGACCAGAGGAGCTGCAAGAGGTGGGAAAGGTAAGGTGGCCCTCAATAATAGATGGATTTTGAGAAGCCTCACCTCGCCAGTGGCCATGGAAGGCACGGCATTCACCAACTTCGTGGGCCTGTCCTGCTGGAGAGTGACACTTGAGCACTTGCCACGAAACTCGTGAAAGCGTTACGCTGCTGCAGCTAAAGCGGAAGTGGCGTGGAAGTGCCAATTGGAGGCAAGGCGGGCGCAGGTCTGGAGGCCCGGCGCAGGTCGAGCACACTAGAAGAGAAGAGGAGCTGCGAGATATCTCGGCTTTCGGCTCTGCTGCTACTGCTCGCGCAACCCGCTCACTGCGTTCATGCCAAGGGGTCTTGAGTGGAGCGAGAGTGACTGACACTCGGTTATGGCACAGCACAGATGCGTACTTCACCGTGTTGAGATGGCAGATGCCGGATGGTGACATGGGCAATATGCTTCTCTACTGGTGGTGACTACGTGATGCTCTTTTTGCACCATGAAGCCCACAGTTGCAGAGAGCACGATGTGCCACCGTGTGGGGCAACTGCCTTTCTCCTTTCCTTTCTCACACCGCATGAGGTGGTTGGGGAGGCGTGGTGTGGAAACATGTGTGTGTAGCCGCGGTCGCACTAGAGTAGAGCCAGGACGCAAAAATGGGTGGTTACCAAGACGAAACTTGGTGGCAGCCGCAAATTTGGCATGGCTGAGGAGGAAAGCGAAGGTGAGGTGAATATTCATCAGCCTGTCACTGGGGTCCACAAGCAGAGTTCATGATGGCTGTGTTGGATTTGACGCGTCCAGTCCAGCGCCTTGGATGCTATCATCCAAACCCTAGCGCCCCCTAACGGCCATCTTAGATGCTGGCTATTTTATGCTTGGGCGGGCAGGCCAACACGAGCTCGGACCATGTAAACACACGCGGGAAGAGCTGGAGGGGTGCCCGCTTATTATATTCAACAAGGACCGTAGGAGAAAGCAAGAAAGCGGTGGTGCTCACAAGATGGAGAGGTTGGTGAATGAGGCAAGAAACTGAGGAAACGATCCATTGAAGACGTTGCTGCTTAGTCTCCTGAGTGGATGCACGCACACGCAATTGCACACACACACAGTGTCGCTCCGGAGTGGCAAAGCGTATTGAAGAGGATGAGTGGTGGAAGGTTGAGTCGAAGCATGGCATGCATCATGCTTTGGTGTGACTGTCGTGTGGCAATGAACAAATAGAGGCATTAGCAGCAGCAGCAGCAGCAGCAGCAGCAGCAGCAGCAGCACGACGCACTCACAGGTCTTTAAGTTTTTTTAGAGTTGACATTTCCCTTGGCAATGAACCCGACAGGCTGTTCACTTCCACTCCACTGCAGCAGCACAAAGATGCTCGAAGCAGAAAGGCAACGCGTGAGAATGAAGAGAACAAGTCAGTTCCCTCACGGATGGCACTCATGCATTGGAACTGCTGAAAAGAACGTGATCCAGCCAGGTGAGCTGGAAGCTCGTGTGAGTGCAGCAAGCACACCACACCACACCACGCCACATCACCATCTATGCCATGGTGATCGTCATGCATGAGCAAGCAAGTACCGAAGCCGGACCATTTCGATTCATGCCAGGCCGAACTGGTCATTATGTCTACAAGCCAAACCAGAGCCGGTTCAGATCGAGTCGGCACTCGGAACTCGGCCCGCCAACCGACCGACTTGACGCTATCATCCGAGAACCATATCGCAAAGAAACAAAGGAAAAATAAACCCACAAACCACACAACAAAAATCAACAAATGTCAGGAAAGCAAAAAAAAAAAAAGATTGATTTTAGGTGAACCAGGGTTGGTAGCCAGCTCAAGCCTACTGAACATAGTGTGATTACAACTGCGATTGATTCTTACAGGAACTCGAGATTGCTCAGCTTGCTGATGTCGGGAGGAATAGAGCCAGACAGGGAGTTGTTGGGCAGGATCCTTCACAATGGGTCCATGCAAGCAATGCAACAACAACAACCCACACCACACACAGGGCACGGCACTCCATCACATGACTATGTGCCACATTCTTTTATTCGAAAGGTGAATGTGATGCGATAAGAAGATGGCCCCGATGCATGGAAGGTTTCACTAAAACGACATTTGATTGAGACTTCAAGAAGGACGGATTATAGCAAGTACGACACTCTGGTTTTAAAACATATCTTCTTACAAGGAGAAAAAGATCCGGCAGTACCTGGTCGAGGAGGACGTTAATCCTAGGGTTCTACAGTCTTCTTCCATTAGCGCGTGCTTATCACAATTGTTCACAGAATCCTTTCCATTGGTTTCGTGTTTGACAGCCTCGAGAAGACATCCTTTGAGCCATGAGTGCCTGGTTCCTAACCTGTCACAGTTCCTAGAATCTCACACTGGCTGATTTCGGCCTCACAAGTTAGTAAGGCGGGTTAAAGTAAAGAGGGCGGGGGGCAGAGAGCCTATTAAGTTGCAGCCAATCAGAGTGCTGCACTCAGGACACGAACACAGGCACAAATGGCATAGGCAAGAAAAGAAGCAGTTATGAGTCCACGGAGAATTCGGGACCATAGCAGTCACCACCAGTGTCTGCAAAAGCAAAGAGGTAAATAAGGCAGTGCAGCTCAAGACTTGCAGCGGACAACAACCAATGCATGTGTTGCAGTGTGATGCGAAGTGTGGTGTAGGAGATGAATGGAAGAAGCAAAGAGAAACCGATGACTACTAAGGCCCTGGCCAAGAGTAAATGAAGCCAGGAAGTGCACACACAGAGATCTAAGCCGCTGCAAACCGCTGATGGCACTGGGAATGGGCTTCCAGAGAGGTTGATTATTGACAGTCCTGGTAAAGGGCATTGAGGAAAGCAAACATGTGGTGAGTGCATGGTGAACGACAGCCAACAAAGTGGATACACAGATGTCGGCAGTGCGTGCGCACATGCACGCGCGTGTGTGTTCATGTGCGTGCAGCGTACGCATGCACATGTGTGCGTTCGTGCGGGCGTGTGTGTGTGCGTGTTTCCCATATGCGCATTACTACAAAGTTGATCTGCCTGCACTCCATACCCAGTGGAGAGCTTACAGCATGAACGAAGGGTGCAATGAGTTGCATCAAGAGAGTGCAATACATGAGCTGCTCACATGGATGTGACGTAGCCATCTTCGCAAGTAATGCCCAACATCTCGCTGCAGATACTGCGCGTCTGCCATGAGACTGAGTTAGCAGACGATGGCCACTCCACGGCTATACTCTTCAGAACATCCTCTGAGAGCAATGCAGCATGCATGGAACAAGTGAGACATGGATAAAGGTGTAAAAACGAATACGGTTTCGAATACGGTTTTTTATACGAATATTTTACGAATAGTAGGCAATTTCGTATTTGGCCGAATAGCCCTCTTCTAACAAATCCGAATAAGGGTCAAATAGCTGGTTCACGAATACTGTTCGAATACGGATACAAATACGGTTTTTACCATACACAGAACCTTGGGGCAGGGTTCTTAATAGGCCGTAAGCACCGCCGGTGCTTCCATTGCTGATGATATGAGTGAAACATAAGAAACGCACCTTCAGAAATCTAGGAGCATACTTATTGAAATGATTATTTTGAAAGCGCAGCTGACTGTAGTGAAGCAAGGCAACTGCAAATGCAAATTTCCGAGTACATAACGAGGGTTGGAGGCCATTTGGCCTCCACCCACGTCTTCATTTCGGAACTTTACAGTTCCGCTTCCCCCCCACCCGCCCCTAATTGATCTCTATGTGTTGTTTTAGTTAAACGAGAATGTTGTAATTACCCGTATTCGTTTTTTATTTGGTATTTGTCGAATACCGAATACGAATACAAATATGCTGGTATTCGTTTACACCTTTAGACATGGATAAGGAGAGTGAGAGCCGTGTTCTCACAATGCACAGAGACAGTCAACAGCAGGGCAAGGGCGAACGCACATAATGGCATCTGACAGTTAGAAACTGGGTGCAGCATGAATGCAAGCCATCTGAATGGTTCAGCAAGCCGTGCACTTGAGTCAAAGTACACGGTGCATGCTACGCTATGTGGCGCGTCACGAGGCGGCAAGGAGTGCGCAGAGGACGGCGGGGAACAAACCGCGCCCTCGCCCCTCCTCGTGTCGCCCCCTCGAATCCAGCGTCTGCGACAAGCCCGGCCCGGAATCCACTGGGGAAGCCCCGCGTGGGACCCAGCCCAGCGTCCTCGGCAGATGCAACGGCGACAGGCGGGGCAGCAGGAGCAGGGTGAGGAGCAACACAACCAGCTCAACGACCCAGTGCGCCAACAACGCAGCAAGGTCTTGAGTGCAACCGCAAGCGCTTTGAGCGCATGCACCAGAGAAAGGGACTGCCTGGCGCAAGGAGCCTCCACGCCCCCGAGCTCCCCTCCAACAAGCCGTCCTTGCAATACATGGACACACGCTTCCATCATCCGCCAGTGCTGCGCGAGGGAGGTGTGCGGCAAGGCAGTCCCTTGGGGCCACTGCTTCTTGCCGCCGCCCTATGCACCCTGCACTGCATTGCACTGCACGCCACAGCAAGGGCCTTCCCTTGGCCCTTGGGTGCTCTGTGCGTAGTTTACGCCGTCACCGACAATGTCAGCTTCATGGCTGATCCACAAGACGCACAGCGGCCTTCGCCCATCACTGCTGGACTAGCTACAGTAGGCCGCACCCACGACCGGCCAAGTGCGCGGCTTCACCTCATTCCCAGCCGCCAGAAAACGTCCTTCCCCTTGGCATGCCCACATGCAACTAAGGGATGATAAAAAATCCTCGGCAGGCACATCCGTCCGATGATGCAGCGGCCTGCTTTCTCCGCGCCAGTTAGGACTCCATGACCACGGACCTCACGCTTATCTCCTACATGGACCCTTAGCTCACCTCGCCGCTGCTCGCCCGCTGCATTTCACAACGGTATCTTACCTGGCCCACACCGCACCATGTCGCTAATTTTGCTGCCAGCAGTTGAATGGTCGCAATGCGGACAACGCCTATCGCTCCTTACAGACAGCATGCAACATCCGACACCCCCGCAGCAAAGCGAAGACTTCTGACACGTATTTGCGCCCAGGCCTCCCTGCCTGTCTCCTTGGAAGGGCTGGGACTGGCCGACCCTTGGCCGGCTTCACCCAGCCCCCCAGCTGCTCAGCATCCGCCACTCAACCCTAACTCTGGCAACACACACAACACGTGCTCTCTTGTTCTGTGGGGCTATCTATGGGGCAAGAAACTGGTTATACGCGGTGGTTCGCCTAGGGCCGGCCCACTTTGCAACAGCCCTTGAGTTCCGCCTTGGCTTTGCAAGAGCCCTCTCCCGCGCTGCGAGCTTGCGACTGCCGCAAGCAAGTGGAGGTCACCAACGCTCGCCTGCTAAACCACCTGCTCTGCTGTGGCACTGGGGTGGGACGTACCATGACACACAACGAGCTGAGCGCCCAGTGTATAAGGACGGCCCAAGGCGTTGGCTTCGTTGCGAGACAGAAACGTCCGTGTTTTGTCCCGTCAAGGGATGGGCGGCAAGAGAGGCAGAGCTGAGTACGTCGGCGTTTCCTCACTGGTAGCCGTTGACACGCATCGCCTGTCCCTGCGGTGAGGTAGCGACATCGGAGCGAATGTCTAGAAACCCCTACTTTCGCACTAACCTGCTTGACGCCTGTGTACCTGTCCATGATTCTTAAGGAAAGTCAGAGGGAACGCGAAGGAGGCCCCGAGGTTTTTTTTTTATATAAGCCAGTCCTTGCAGACTATTGTTCCTTCCGTTCCTCATTCTCGATTCTCCTAGCCCAACCAACCCTAATAGTATTCACCACTCAGGCTTTAAAGCTTCTCGTTTCTGGCTTTCAGGCCAGCATGTGTGACGAGAGAGTGTGAGGGCTCTCGGAGAGCAACATGGGCCTGCAAACAGCGACTCACAGATAGGTACGCAACGCACTTTGGGAGGAGAGAATCGGCTGCGCGGACGCCTCTCCGCAGGCGCGCAGCAGCGCGAGCAGCGCACAGGCGTACGGTGCGGCAAAGCTAAGACTTCTACGCTGGTACACACACGCGTGGCCACGCGCTACCGCGCGCACGAGCTTCTTTGCCTTCCGCATTCTTCTCCAAGGCTGCCTCTCCGCTCTCATGTGCTAATATAGACTCGACTTTCACGGAGGAGTATGCGGAACTGTACGCTGATACATCGTCTTGCATATCCACGAATGAATGAGACTGACTTGCTTGACCACGCAAGACTGGGGTATCTCTAGGGTTAGAGATATTGAATCGAGCATAAAATATCACCGACACCGAACAATTTTCCGCCAGCTTGTATAATGTCGTATGGTAACCCGGTTTGGAACAACAAAACCCTCACAGCTAGGAAGGAGCGGGGGCACAACCAGCACAATCCAAACGGTGATAACGAACAGGCTAATCAGGGTGGAAACCCTGACTTTCTAGGGCGTAATCGGATGATACACAGCGGCATTGCATCCTGGACTCGCAAAGCACGTCACAGTACTGGCTAGGGGGGCATTTCATGTACGAGACTTTCAAGAGAAGCCCCCTTGAATCCCGTCTCTTCTTCTAAAACGCCCGGAAATTTCCGAAATCCAACTTCGCACCCCACGATGCTGCCCGTGGTAGTGTAGGTAACCACAGGAGCACCGGAACCGGAGCACCAGATGGAAAGCGACGGGCCCGCCGCGATGGGGTCGGCGGAGGAGCTCGCGCAGCTGAGAGCCGCCAATGCGGAGCTGCGCTGCAGCGCGGACACGCTGCATGGAGAGCTGCGCGCCGTGCAGCACCTCGCCGCCGCCGTCGCCGCGGATGTAACGCCTGCGGGCTAGTGTTAAAGGGCATTCCGCTGCGCCAAATAACACCCTCGTTTTGACCCAGTGGGTAGCGAGGTGTTATACTGGTATCCAGAGCCTAGGGTTCGATTCCCGTCTGGTCCACATTGTCCGCTTTAAGCGAGACCTGGAATGTGGTAACCCAGCTGCGAACCCAGCGAACGATCCGCCGCTGGCCTGACCTCACCAGCGAAGTCGCTGCTTGGAGCACAGCGAATAGGTCCCTGCGGGGGCCGACTCCCTGAAGTTCGTCAACGAGGACGTTGACACCAGGGGGGGACGAGTGTAACGCCTGCGGGCTAGTGTTAAAGGGCATTCCGCTGCGCCAAATAACACCCTCGTTTTGACCCAGTGGGTAGCGAGGTGTTATAGCGGAGCTCGACGCGTGGAAGCGCGACAGCGTGCCGCGCGGCGAGGTGGAGGAGCTTCTGAGGCGGGCGGAGATGTGGCGCGCGCTGGCGGAGCTGCCAGTAAACAAAACCACAGTGACGGCGAGTGCGCGCAGGAGGAGGCGCAGACGATAGGCGAGGCGGAAGAGAGTAGGATTGCGGCGGGGCGTATGTGCGGCGAGGGGGGGAAGCTAGCGCGCACCGACGCGGAGGTGGCGCGCGAGACAGTGGCGCGGCTGGCGCGAGAGAAGGCCGAGGCGGAGCGGCGGCGAGAGGAGGCGGAGAGGCGGAGGGCAGCGGAGGAGATTGGGCGGTTGAGGGCGGCTCTGGCGGAGGCTGAGCAGCTCGGAGCAGTGGCGCGCACAGGCGGAACGATGGCAGGTGGAAGTGGCTCGGTTGAGAGGAGACGAGGCGGAAGGAGTGCGCGGGCAGGCGATGGAAGAGGGCGTGGCGTGGCGAGAGGAGGAAGGTGCACGGGAGGACGCGGCGGAGGGTGCAGGAGGCGCGGGGGGCAGTGGTGGTGGGAAGGACGGTGGAGAGGAGGGGACAGGCGAGGCAGAGAGCGAGGCATGTGGGCAGTGGCGGGTGCAGGGGACTCAAGGCGGGCTGTTGGACGTGGGAGGTGGAGAGGATGGTGCGAGTGCAGTGCTGCAGAGGGGGCTTGGGGGAGAGCGAGGGCGAGGCCGCTGGATGTTGTCATGCGGTTGAGGCGGGTGATGCAGGGGTGGGGAATGGGCAAGCACATGGGGGCGGGAAAGAAGAGATCGTGCGCACAAGGGAGGTTGCGAGAGGGGCAGAGGCCGCGCAGGAAGGGAGGGGTGGGAGCAGGAGAGGAGAGAGCGGCAGCTTGTGTGGTGGAGAGGGAGGAGAGGAAAGAGCGAGGGGGAGTCGGGGGTAGGTGTGTTGGAAAAGGACGGAGTGGAGGGGCGAGATGGGAGGAGCAGGGCGAGCAGGGGGGTCAGGAGTGTGCGGTAGAGCCGTGGCAGTACTGGCAGGGCGTGGACAAGTGGGGGGGGAAGGCGAGAGCATGGAGGGAGAAGTGTTGCCAGGACGTGGCGAATGGCGAGGAGAGGGTGGGGGAAGCAGAGGGAAACGCAGTGAGCGGTGAGACAGAGCGACTAGGAGAGGAGTCAGAGGTGGTGTCGGGAGAGAGGGGGGGGGGGGTACTAAGGCGAGAAGACAGCGGGCCAGGGGAGCGATGGAGGAGGAGGTGACAACGGAGGCAGGCACGGGGCAGGGAGGGGCGTGGTGGAGACAGTTGGGAAGGAGCATGTGGCGAGGGAGGATGCGTGCTGGGACTCGGGAGGGGAGGGCGTGTGTGCGTTGCTGGATGGGGAGCGAGAGGAAACAGAGGATGTGGACACGAGGGAGGAGCAGCGCTGGGAAAGGGCGAGGGGTGTAGAGACGGAATGAGGGGGTGGGGTGGGAGCAAGGGCGGAGGAGGGAGGGATGCAGGCAGGAGTGGGCAGGGGAGAGGCGGTTTCGGGCAAGGTGGAGGAGTGGGAGCGACGGGTGGAGGAGGTGAATAAGGGTGGCGGTGAGGCATGGCAGGCGGGGCGGGGCATGGCACGGTTGTGCTGCGATTCTGCTGGGCGCCGTGGGGCGGGGTGCGATGCAGGTGCTCAGGGGAGGGGCTGGCGTGTGGGCGGGCGCCGTGCCCAAGGCTGTGTAGCTGTGGGCAGTGGTGTGGGGCGCACAAGGGACAGGGCAGCATGGGGGTTGCGATGCGAGGGCAAGATGAAGATGCGTTGAGGGTGCATGAGGGGAGGAGAGAGGGAATGGCACGAGTGACTGAGCATGCAGCAGGCGAAGAGGAAGCCATGGAGGAGGAAAGGGGTATGAGAGTGAGCGAGGGAGCTGGACTGGTGGCGATGTGTGAAGAGGATCCAAAGCTACATGTGACAGATGTGACGGTGGCAAGGGATGAGGTGCAGGTGACAGGCGAGAAAGAGGAGGAGCAGGGAATAGAGGCACGAGCCCATTTGTGCGCGGGGGTAGAGGAGGCGACTCTGGGAGAAGCAAGGCGGAGCTTCTTGGTGGTTGCACAAGTGGATGAGAGTGCGATGAGAAGAGTGTCAGTGGAGGGGCTAAGGGAGCAGTGCGAGGACGAGGAGGCAGGAGTGCGGGAGGAGATGAGGCGGGTGGAGGTGGTGGCGAGGGACGAGGTGGAGAGGCAGATGAGCACAGCTGACAGGAAGAGAGCGCGGACTGAGGGGAAGAGAGCTGAGAGTGAGAGGGAGGTGGAACGTGTGCGTGCGAGGGGAGGGGGAAAAGGACGAGCTGGTGATACGGATGGGGGAATGTGGGAATATGCCGATATAGGATGGGAGGGGTGCGATGGAGGAAGGGAGGGGTGCGATGGAAGTTGGGCGTGGGAGGCAGCAGGCTGAGAGGGACAGGGCGAGAGCAGAAGAGGAGTGGGGAGAGGCAAGGAGGGAAAGAGACTGTTGTTTGCAGGCAATGGAAGACGTGGTGAGGGCTAGGGACACGGTAGAGCGGAGGGTGGAAGAATTGCACAAGCTGTTATTGATTGGCAGATGAATGGAGAATGAAGTGCAGGGGGGGGGAGAGGATCATTGTTGGAGAGAGTGTGGGTGGTGACGGGATGAGGGGCGCAGGGGAGGACATGGCGTGGAGTGAGATGATGCAGATGATGAGGGAGGTGAGTGTGGCGAGGGGCTCACTCGGCGAGGAGGGGGATGTCTGTGGAGGAGATGGAGAGAAGGTGCAGGGCGGCAGAGCAGGAGAGGCATGCTGCAGAGAGGTGCAGATAGGAGGTGGAGGAGGAACTGGCAGTGGCTGTGCGGGCGAGGGACGAGGCAGTGGCGCGGTGCAGCGCGATGCAGCAAGAGAGAAGCAGCATGGAGCGGAGCCTGCGGGAGGCAGAGAGGGCCATGGAGGAGGCAGAGCGATCAGTGGACGAGGCTGAGGAGGAGCGCATGCAGGCCGCGCGCGCCAGGGAGGAGGCTGATAGGCAACGACACAGGGCTTGGCAGAGAACGGAAGAGCAGATGGTGAGAGGGATAATGTGTGCAGCAGGAGGGAGAAAGCTGTGGAAGGAGCGAGAGTGGAAGAGGAAGTGGGATGCGAGAGAGAGAGAGAGAGAGAGAGAGAGAGAGAGAGAGAGAGAGAGAGAGAGAGAGAGAGAGAGAGAGAGAGAGAGATGGTTTGCACGTGCAGGGATGGACGGCGCTTGAAGGAGATGAGTGGGAGCAGCAAGGGGGGGAAAGGTGCTGCTGTGTATGCATGCAGATGGGTCGGGTGTGGAGGGCATGGGGGTGGAGGTGGCGTGCAGCGATGGCCAGGGCATCGGCGGGGATGTGCGTGCAGGGGCGCGTGCTGGCACTGCATTGGGTGCAGCGCTGGCAGGCGCTGTGTGCATGGTGGCAGCAGCACTGGCCGTGTGACAAGCAGCGACAGCACGAGTGCTGTTATGGCAGCTAGCCCTGCTTGTCATGCTTCAGCATTCCCCCGTGCCTGCACTGCGCCTGTCTTCACTGCATCTCTTTCTGCTGCTGGCAGCACAGCCTCACAGGCCTCCCACAGCTCACATGCGTCTCATGGCGTGCATGCCGCCACTCACTTGCATGCATCCAACGCCTCGCATGTGTCCGCCCCTGGCTCATTCCACTCCTCTGCATCTTTTCTGCCCGCACATGCTGCTCATGTGCCTGCTCCTGAATTGTCCACCACTGATTCCTGCGCTGCAGTGATCCCTGTCATACCACCGGCAACAGTGGCAACAGAATCAACCCCGAACAGCCAGGAAAGTGCCTGCAGTCACAGCACCACCCCATTCCCACAGCAGTAGTACCTGGCCCCCCACTACTGCTGGGCCTCCACACGCCATGCTCACCTCTCATGCCCCCCGCTGACCTTTTGCTGAGCCCCCAACACGTTCTCGTGGCCCCGCTTGCTCCTGCTGCTGGTGCTGGTGACGTGGCGGCGCAGATATGTGCAGGAGAAATGTGTTGGTGCAGGCAGGTGAATGAAGTTGAGGGGCAGGTGCAGCGCGCTGCTAGCGGCGTGGGCACACGTGGAGCGTCGGGCTGGCCTTGTGGAGGAAACTGCCAGGCAGTTGCTGAGAGTGGTTGAGAGAGCAGAGGAGAAGAGGGGATTGGCAAAGGAGGGGATGAGGAGGGCTGAGGCGTCGGACTGAGGAAGAGAGGAGGCATGTGGAGGAGGATAAGAGGGTATTGGAGAGTAGGTCGAAAGAGGAATTGGGGCAAGCTCAAGGGGAGGTGGTGCGGGTGAAAGAGGCGGCAAGGAGGAGGCAGGTGGAGGTGGAGCAGGTGATGGAGGCTAAGTGACAGCGCGTTAAAGCCCTCACTCGCTCACTGCTAGCCTGAGAGGAGCAGAGGAAGAAGCTGGTTGCGCTGCTCAGAGCAGCTCTGGAGGTACGCCTCTATTGTAGTTTCTCCATCTCTCCTCTTCCTTCTGGCCTTCGTTGCTCATGCTATTCCTAGTGGGTCTTAGAATTTTTATGGACTTCTTGATGTGCATGACACTCAGCAACATCACACTCGCTCTATGCTTATGCTTTGCCACTGCCTGTGCCTGCGCATGCTGGGATGCATGCCCGTCCATGCAGGGGCTGGATGCGCCATCGTGGTACACACTGGTGGAAGCCTGTGAATGGATGTCCGTTCATGCAAAAATAGCGTCGTGTTCACACTTGAGGTAGTTATGTGTTCTATTACTTTGCATCCTCAAATGACTACTACCGTTGATTACTGTACGGCATGCCCTATTGTCATGATAAATTATCTTGATTACCCTGATTTCAGGATATTGCTGGGGTGACAGTGCTGGAAAATCAGAATGACCCATCTGCTTTCTTTTTATGCAGCGGCAAGAGGCAAATCTGGAACACTCGTGCGGTAATGATTCAAGGATTGTCTGACTGCAATATGTGTGTATGGTTTATTCTATCAGATTATATAGGTTGTGTTATAATTGCGTAGGCTGTAGTGGGGTAGCCAATATGGGGTACAACCCCTTTAGGGTTTAATGAGTGATGTAATAGCAAAAGTGTTTTAATGAAGATTGTTGAACCACCTTGCGCTAGTATGTGAGGGCAAAGTAGATTTTTCGAAACATGATAATTTTTAGACACACATAGTGTTTTTTAAAACTACTTATTTCGAAAGCGCAGCTGACTGTAACGCGGATTTGGCATCGTCGAAGCGCGCTAAACGCCCTTCTCCAACTACAAATCGTGGGTTGGAGTTCATTTCCCCCCACCCACATCTCTCATTTCTCAAACGGCTCATGCAACTCTCAGTTCCTCGAGCTCATTTTTAGTTTTCCGTTCAAGCTGGCTAGAACCCGCTCTCTACCGAGAGGCGTTTCACCTTCAACATTATTAGCCGACATTTTCAACCACAACACTACGACGATGGCTACTACGCTGACACTTAACCGCGCGAACAACACCGTCGTCAACGACCCGATTAATTCCGACAACGATCGCAATGCCCGGGAAACGTCGGGCGAGCACCGCAACAAGCGCCGGGCAGACAGCGAAACGTCTACCCAGTTGAAATGAGAACGATGCCAAATGATAATTATTAGAAAGCAAGCTTTCTAAATAAAGAGATACCGTCATACCCCGGATATAAGCGCCACCCGCGGATAAGCGCCTGGCGCTTTTAATCGGCGCCCGGCGCTTATATCCGGTGCTCGATTATAAGCGCACCCCCCTGAAAAAACTTGTTTTATTATAAGCGCACGTAAACTTTAAATTTTGAAATGTGTTCGAAACACTGTAACGATTTCTACTTTAGCAGGGGGATGTGTTGCAGATTCGCTTCCCTTCACATTCGGACCCTGCACTGGATGCGGGTCCAGTCAGCAGGAGCAGTCAGGAGCTGTCAGAAGCTGTCAGAAGCTGTCAGGAGCTGTCAGAGTGGGTGTATCTCCAGCGCGCGCGAGAAATTTCACAGAACTTCGACTCGATTGAAAAAGGCAAGCACGAGATCTACAGCTTGGTGTTAAAAAATATATAAAATATATATGTCGTTTTATAAACGCCGGCGCTTATAAATTTACCCGATTATAAGCCCACCCCCCCTAAAAAAACCTGTTTTATTATTGCCCCCCATGGGGGTATATCCGGGGTATGACGGTACAAGCTTTTATAAGAGTACAAGGGAATATTAAACGTTATAGCTGTTAGAGTGAGGATCTTGGATAGGATAGGAAGTGCCTTGAGAGAGTTTGGTAGAAAAAATCTTGGTGAGAACTCTGATCATAACGAATGTAAATGACAAAGTTGATTAAATGATAGAATACAAGCAAATAAATAGTCCTAACTAGCCATGTACTCTAAGGGGTACATTCCCTTATTATAACTGTTTTACAGGCAGTTCTACAGTGACTCTGACTATTGCTCTTCCTTTCTTGTTACCGAGTCGCTGCTTGTAACCGTGCGTATGGTTACGCATAATGCCATTCCTTGATGGTAAGTCAACCGTCGGTCCAGATGGTCAACAGTCGCGACAGTTGACTCTTGCGACTGTTGACCTTCCTGCCTTAGGAATAGGCTGATCCGACATTTGCTGCTCGCGTTGCTTCGATAGTAGCGGGTGCGATGTTGCTGCACCTTTGGGAATGCTTAAGTGAAATTCCCTTCATACTCCAACACTCCCCTTCATTCCTGGAGGTGCGCCACGTGGCTTTTTCGGACGACTCCGCACAGGTCCGAGCAGTACTGGAATTTCTGACGTGGCAGTTTCTTCGTCAGGAAATCTGCTGCCATTTCGCCAGTTGGGCAGTAGGTGAGTTGGACCTTTCCTTTGTCGATTTCGTCTTTGAGGAAGAAGTATCGCAGGGCTGTGTGTTTCGTGCGGTTGTTGAAGCCGGGTTTGTGTGCGATCTTGATCGCACTCTGGTTGTCGCAGAGTAACTTGAAGGACCCGTTCATCGCCGTCTTCGTTTCCTGCGGGAGTTTCGTGAGGTAGAGTCCTTCGCGAACTGCTGCGCTTGCTGCGATGAACTCTGCTTCTGCTGACGAGAGGGCGATCAGCTTCTGATCCTGTGAGTTCCAGGAGATGGTTCCTGCAGGCTCGAGTTGAAGATGAAGCCTGTGCGGAACCTTCTATTTTCTGCGTCCACTGCGTGGTCTGCGTCAACGAAGCCAGTAAGCTGTAGGTCCGTAGGACCGTTTTTTTTTTTTTTCGGGCCCACCTACCGCTACCCCACGAATGAGCCTGTGACCGTGACTGTCACGCACACTGCCTACTGCCTAGTGTCTGCTGTTAGCCCGCGTGCACCTTCCTGCACGCACGTAGTCGCGTGCAGCCCGCACCGAGCCCGCGCAGCCTGCTCTGAGCCGCGCGCAGCCTGCTTCGAGCCGCGCGCTGCCCGCACCGAGCCCGCGCAGCCCGCGCCGAGCCGCGCGCAGCCCGCTGCTGCCGCGCGCAGCCCGCTGCTGCCGCGCACAGCCTGCGTCGAGCCCGCGCAGCCCATCCCGAGCCGCGTGTAGCCCGCATTGAGCCCGCGCGGCCCGCTCCGAGCCGCGCGCAGCCTGCTTTTGCCGAGCGCTGGCCGCGCCGCGCCCGCGCAGTCCACCCCGAGCCGCGCGCAGCCCTCTGCGACCCGCGCGCGGCCCGCAGCAGCCCCGCGCGCTGCCCCGCGCAGCCCACTGCCGCTTCCCGTAGCCCGCCCCGAGCCCGCGCCGCCCGCGCGCGGCCAGCTGGTGCCCTGCGCCCCGCTCACGCAGACCCGCCTGGCCGCGGAAGCGGCCCCGACCTGCTGCTGCCGCGGCCCGGCCCTGCAACTGCCTCGGCCCCGACCTGTCGCTGCCACGACCCGGCCTGCAGCTACCTCGGCCCCGACCTGTCGCTGCTACGACCCGGCCCTGCAGCTGCCTCGGCCCCGACCTGCCGCTGATGCGGCCCTGCCCTGCAGCTGCCTTGGATCCGACCTGCCGTTGACGCGGCCCCACCCTACCTCTGCAGCTGCTGCGGCCCTACTCTGCAGCCGCTGTTGCGACCCCGCCGCCGCCCGCCGAGCGCCGGCCCTGCTCGCCCGGCGAGCGCCTGCCCTTCCAGCCTTTGGTGAGCACCTGCCTGCCTGCCTGCCTGCCTGCCTGCCTGCCTGCCGGCCTGCCTGCCTGCCTGCCTGCCTGCCTGCCTGCCGGCCTGCCTGCCTGCCTGCCTGCCGGCCTGCCTGCCTGCCTGCCTGCCTGCCGGCCTGCCTGCCTGCCGGCCTGCCTGTCTGCCTGCCTGCCTGCCTACCTGCCGGCCTGCCTGCCTGCCGGCCTGCCTGCCTACCTGCCTGCCTGCCTGCCTGCCTGCCTGCTTGCCTGCCGGCCTGCCTGCCTGCCTGCCTGCCTGCCTACCGGCCTGCCTGCCTGCCGGCCTGTCTGCCTGCCTGCCTGCCTGCTGGCCTGCCTGCCTGCCTGCCGGCCTGCCTGCCTGCCTGCCTGCCTACCGACCTGCTTGCCAGCCAGCCTGTCTGCCTGCCTGCCTGCCTGCCGGCCTGCTTGCCTGCCGGCCTGCCTGCCTGCCTGCCTGCCTACCTGCCTGCCTGTCTGCCTGCCTGCCTGCCTGCCTGCCGGCCTGCCTGCCTGTCTGCCTGCCGGCCTGTCTGCCTGCCTGCCTGCCGGCCTGCCTGCCTGCCTGCCGCGCCTGCCCTGCCCGAGCTGCTGCGGCTACTCCTGCTACTAGGAGGTGGCCAGATGCAGCTCCAGCGCCGTTCTTGCGAGTCTCTCACGCCCCAGCAGCATAGTGCACTCGAGCCGTCGCGGTAGCCGTCGTAGCTGTCGCCCTGGAGCTGGTCAGTCGGGGGCGTCTGCCAGTGGTCAGCTGCAGCTGCAGCGGCGGCCACGCGAGACGCTTATGTCCCAGCAGCTCCATGAGTGGTTCGCTCATAATAGCAGGTCTACGCGTACAGTTCGCTGCCCGTACGTCATTCGCACAGGTGATAGGACTGGTCAGCCTTGTGGGACGCTTGGTCACACACAGTCCCGCTGCTTTGCCCGTCTGAGCGACGCCTGGCGTACCGTGTTTGGAGACGAGGATGGGCTCCCTACCTGGCCGGAGCTGCTTGGACAGAGGGTAGATATCTTTGCACTTGACTATGATGCTATTCTCACTGCCATGTATGCATTGCCTACTAGTGTTGACCGTGCCTGTTACCTGTGCGTCCCGCCTGACCCTGGTATAGCGCCTTCTGCTCACGGTACTGGTGAGGCTGCTGCTCTAGGTGCTAGTGCGTCTCTTGCTCTAGGTGCTGGTGAGGCTGCTGCTCTAGGTGCTGGTGAGTTTGCTCTCTCTGGTACTGCGCCTGCTGCGGTCTTGCACACCTTCACCCTTGACTCAGGAGCTTCCCGCTCTTTCTTTCGCGACTGCACCACACTCACGCCGCTCAGTCGGCCAGTTCCGGTCTCCCTGGCAGACCCCTCTAGGGGTCCAGTCCTTGCCCACTACTCCACGGTTCTGCCGTGTCCGGCCGTCCCGTCTGGCTTCCTGTCAGGTCTTTACCTCCCCTCGTTCTCTACGAACTTGGTGAGTGGAGCTGACCTCCAGGATCACGGGGTTGACCAGTTCACTCCTGCGAGTCAGCGAGTGACCCACTGTACGTGTGCTCGGACGGGCCGACACTTGGCCACGTTCACCCGTGCACCTGGCTCGAGTCTGTACACACTGACCACTGAGTCCCCTCAGGTAGCTGCGTCTGCGTCTACGTCTGGTCAGCTGGCAGCCCCCTGCGAGTGTCGCGCTCTGTCGCACGACACTCTCCTGTGGCACCACCGCCTTGGTCACCCCTCCCTGCCTCGCCTTCGTGGCATGCACTCTCGCTCCCTGGTTTCTGGTCTTCCCAGGTCTCTGCCTGCTCTCCCTCCCTCGCCTGCGCCGCCCTGCATTCCTTGCGTCGAGGGGCGGCAGCGCGCCGCTCCTCACTCCTCCTCGTTCCCTCCCACAGAGGCTCCCCTGCAGACTCTCCACCTGGACGTGTGGGGCCCAGCCCGCGTCCGTGGACAGGGCCACGAGCGGTACTTCCTGCTGGTCATCGACGACTACACGCGCTACACCACGGTCTTCCCCTTGCAGAGCAAGGGGGACGTCCCTGCTGTTTTGATCCCTTGGATCCGCGCTGTTCGTCTCCAGCTCCGCGACCGGTTCCAGCGGGACTTTCCTGTCCTGCGTCTGCACTCCGACAGAGGTGGTGAGTTCGCCTCAGACCTCTTGGCAGCCTACTATGCGGCGCACGGCATTCGCCAGTCGTTCACGCTTCCGGCCTCTCCGCAGCAGAATGGGGTTGCTGAGCGGTTTAGTCATGGAGGTCGCTCGTACCTCCATGATCCATGCGGCTGCTCCCCATTTTCTGTGGCCGTTTGCGGTCCGGTACGCCGCACATCAGCTTAACCTTTGGCCACGTGTCTCCTTGCCGGAGACCTCGCCCACACTGCTGTGGACGGGGAAGGTTGGCGATGCGTCGCGTTTCCGGGTCTGGGGTGCTCGTGCCTTTGTCCGCGATACCACTGCGGACAAGCTCTCCGCCCGCGCTGTTCCCTGTGTCTTCCTTGGCTTTGTCCCTGACGCGCCTGGTTGGCAGTTTTACCACCCCACCTCGTGCAGTGTCTTTGCGTCTGAGGATGTCACGTTCGACGAGTCGGTTCCCTTTTACCGTCTCTTCCCCTACCGCACTGCCCCGCTCCCCCCCCCGCCTCTCTTCCTCGCTCCAGGTGCTCCCCAGGTAAACCCCCTCCTTCCCCGCTCCAGGTCCTGCTCCTTCAGGTGTGTCTCAGGTAGACCCTCCTCCCTTGACTGCACCGGTTGAGGTCACTGGTGACTCAGGTCCTGCTGAGGGTGGTCCTGCTCGGGGTGCTACTTCTGGGGGTGCTGAGCCTGGGGGTGCAGAGCCTGGGGGTGCGGAGCCTGGGGGTGCTGGGCCTGGGGGTGCTGAGCCTGGGGGTGCGGAGCTTGAGGGTGTGGAGCCTGGAGGTGCTGAGCCTGCGTGTGAGGGGTCTGGGGGTGCTGAGCTTGGCAATACTGAGTCTGGGGGTTCTGCGCCTGGGGGTGCTGAGGCATCTCGTGAGCAGTCTCCCTGGAGCGGCCGTCTCCGTAGTCGCTCCGCTGGTGCCTCGCCGCTGCCCTCTTGTCGTCGACTCTCCCTCTCCTCCCTGCAGTGGGTTGTGTGGTACCTTGGCCGTCAGGGCCGCGCTGCTGGAGCTGGTGACTCTGCTCCTGGAGCTGTTTTTCCTGGAGGCTCTGCTGCTGCTGAGGGTGCGGGCGCTGGAGGTTCTGGAGCTGCTGGAGGTCCTGGTGCTGGTGGCGCTGGAGCTGGAGGTTCTGGAGCTGCTGAGGGTGCTGGCACTGGAGGTTCTGGAGCTGCTGGAGGTGCTGGCGCTGAGGGTGCTGGCACTGGAGGTTCTGGAGCTGTTCGAGGTACTGACGCTGGTGAGCGGTCTCCTTGGAGTGGCCGCCTTCGTCCACGTGTGCCTCTCACCTCACAGCAGCTGCACGACTGGTACGGTCGCCGTCAGGGTCGCGCTTCTGGAGCTGGGGGCTCTGCTGATGGAGGTGCTTCTGCTGACGTCACTGGAGCTGGGAGTGGTGCTGGTCTCGGAGGTGCTCGTACTGGGGGTACTGGTGCTACTGGGGCTGGAGGTGCTGAGCCTGCGGGTGCTGCTGCTGGGGACACTGCGGCTGGAGACCCTGGGACTGGGGGTGCCGGTTCTGGGGGTGCTGCTGCTGGTGGAGCTGGCCCTGGAGGAGCTGGCGCTGAGGGTTCTGGTGCTGCTGGAGGTGCTGGAGCTACTAGAGGTGCTGGAGCTGCTGGTGCTGGTAGCACTGCATTGACACGACTGTTCTTCGCTCCGCCGTCTCCGTCGTCTCTGCCGCCGCCTGACTCTGCTCTTCGTCAGGTTGTTACTCTCCCGTCGTCTACTGGTCTTCCGTTACAGCCTGGCTCACCGCTGCCTGCTCCCTCTCCTTACACTGAGCAGACAGGTAGTCTTGCTGAGCGTCGTGAGCCTGCATCGCGTCCTGTCTCGCCTGTTCGTCCTTGTCGTACCGTTCGTCGTGTTCCTCGTCAGCGTCAGCCGGCTGTCCCCGGCACACGCCTTGTAGCCCTGCGTCGGTCCTCTCCTCCGGAGCGTACTCCTCTTCCGTCTCCCCCTGCGTCCTCTTTGCCTGACGTCGCGGACCCTGAGTCTGACCAGTATCGTGCTGAGCACCCTACTGTCACGCGTCTGCTAGCCACCGTTGTCACTGACCCGTCGTTTGAGTCTGCTGCTGCGTCTGCCCTAGTCGCTGAGCTTGTTGACTTTGCTGCTGCCTGTCGTCTAGACTTCGCTGCCAGTCTTGTTCCTGAGTCTGAGTCTGTCTGTCCTCCGTCCGTCGGGGATGAGTGTGCTCTTAGCACGGACGTCCTTGAGGACAGGCACGAGGACCTTGAGTGTCTTGCGGCTGCTGCGCCTCATCTCGTGGCCATGCTGCTTGCCCCTGAGGGAGACCCGGATGCACCAGACATCCCGACCCCGCGCTCTTACGCTAAGGCGATCGCGGGTGAGTACTCCTCTTAGTGGCAGACAGCCATGGACGCAGAGATGGCATCCTGGAAGTCCACAGGCACTTACGTCGATGAGGTTCCCCCTCCTGGGGCGAACATCATCGATGGCATGCGGATTTTCAGGGTGAAGCGGCCGCCGGGTTCTCCGCCTGTCTTCAAGGCTCGTTACGTTGCTAGAGGCTTCAAACAGTGAGAGGGAGTTGACTACTTTCAGACCTTCTCTCCCACCCCGAAGATGACCACTCTTCGGGTACTGCTGCACGTTGCCGCTCAGCGTGACTACGAGCTTCACGCTCTTGACTTCAGCACAGCCTTCTTACAGGGCAGCCTGCACAAGGAGATCTGGCTGCGCCGCCCATCTGGCTTCACTGGGTCGTTCCCTCCTGGTACCCAGTGGAGCCTCCGGTGGCCAGTCTACGGTCTCCGCCAGGCGCCTCGTGAGTGGCACGACACACTGAGGACTACACTTGCGGCTCTTGGGTTCGCTCCTTCCACTGCTGACCCGTCGCTGTTTCTACGCACCGACACTTCTCTGCCGCCGTTCTACATCCTCGTGTACGTCGACGACTTAGTCTTTGCCACTGCTGACACTGAGGCTCTCGCTCAGGTGAAGTTGGAGCCGCAGAAGAGACACACGTGCACAGACCTGGATGAGCTGCGCAGCTACCTTGGCTTGCAGATTACCCGGGACAGAGCACGCCGCACCATCACCTTGACTCAGTCACACATGGTGCAGCAGGTCCTTCAGCGCTTCGGCTTCTCCTGGTCCTCCCCACAGTCCACTCCTCTAGCTACAGGTCACTCGCTCTCAGCTCCACCTTCGGACGAGTCCGTAGAGCCGAGTGGTCCTTACCCAGAGTTAGTTGGCTGCCTCATGTACCTGATGACTTGCACTCGTCCTGACCTCGCGTACCCTCTTGGCCTCCTGGCTCGCTACATGGCTCCTGGTCGGCACCGACCTGAGCACATGGCTGCTGCTAAGAGGGTACTGCGCTACTTGTGCAGTACATCAGGCATGGGGCTAGTGCTTGGTGGGACTAGCCCAGTTGTTCTCACTGGGCACTCAGACGCTTCTTGGGTTGACGACTTGGCTACGCAGCGGTCGTCACAGAGTTACACCTTCAGCCTTGGCTCTGGTTCAGTTTCTTGGCGTTCTACTCGCTCGTCTTCAGTTCTCAGCTCTAGTTGTGAGGCTGAGATCTACGCCACAGCCATGGCTGCACAGGAGTTGCGCTGGCTCACCTACCTGCTGACTGACTTGGGAGAGCGGCTTGCTGTACGTGGACAACAAGGCTGCCATTGCCTTGTGTGAGGAGCACAGACTGGAGCACAGAACGAAGCACATCGCTCTGCGTTACTTCCTGGCTCGAGAGCTGCAGCAGCGAGGCCAGCTTCGTCTTCGCCACGTGGCCACTCGGGCCAACACTGCTGATATATTGACCAAGGCACTTCCGTCTGGTGATCATCAGCGCTTTTGTACCCTGTTAGGCCTTGTGCCTACGTTTCCACACTTGCTGTAGTCTCTGCTTGTACTGTGATCTATATGTATACTTGCATGCTGGCTCTTGCTAGGTAGTCATCACTGTACTGTTATTGCTGCATATATATCTCTGCATGTGAACTGGCCTTGTGGCCCTTGCTTGTGCTCAGAATGTGTGGTGACGTTGTGATCCACCCTGAGCTTGTTTTGCTTCTCTTGACTGGTCGTGTGACCCCTTGTTCTCTCCCACTTTGCCTATGGGGGTGTGTCAAACATATGTGCTGCATTTTGTCTAGGCTGTAGTGGGGTAGCCCATATGGGGTACAACCCAATTAGGGTTTACTACTTGTAATCCTGCATGCTACTAGTTCACCCATTCCTGTCTTTAGATTCTAACAGTTTCTTCGTCAGGAAATCTGCTGCCATTTCGCCAGTTGGGCAGTAGGTGAGCTGGACCTTTCCTTTGTCGATTTCGTCTTTGACGAAGAAGAATCGCAGGGCTGTGTGTTTCGTGCGGTTGTTGAAGCCGGGTTTGTGTGCGATCTTGATCGCACTCTGGTTGTCGCAGAGTAACTTGAAGGACCCATTCATCGCCGTCTTCGTTTCCTGCGGGAGTTTCGTGAGGTAGAGTCCTTCGCGAACTGCTGCGCTTGCTGCGATGAACTCTGCTTCTGCTGACGAGAGGGCGATCAGCTTCTGCTTCTGTGAGTTCCAGGAGATGGTTCCTGCAGGCTCGAGTTTGATGATGAAGCCTGTGCGGGACCTTCTATTTTCTGCGTCCCCTGCGTGGTCTCCGTCAACGAAGCCAGTAAGCTGTAGGTTAGCCGTTAGGTTTGCCTTGTAGGTGAGGCTGACGTCGGGCGTGGAGATGAAATACTGTAGGGCTCGTCGTAGGTCTGCCATGTTCTCCCCTTCAGGTCGGCGCAGGTACTGGGCGAGCTGGCTGGCGATGTAGGATAGATCCGGGCGGCATGTGACGGCGGCGAACAGGAGGCAACCGAGCTGGTGCTGGTAGAGGCGATGGTCGGCTGGGGAGAGCCGGGTGGTGTCCGGCTCGTGGTTGGGGGGAGGAGTGCAAAGGGGGGTGGTAATACTGATGGGAGCGATGCCGAATTTCTTAGCGAGACTCTCGGCGTATTTCGCGGCGGAGAGGTGGATAGAGTCGGCACTCTGCATGACGTTGAGGCCGAGGAATTGGGTGACGTCGTGGTCGATGGTCACCTCCATCTTTTCTTGAATCTCGCGCTCGAAGCGATCGAGTAGTTCGGAGTCGTCCCCGGTGTAGAGAAGGTCGTCCACGTAGGCGACGAGCAGGATGGAGTGGCCGCGTGATTCGAGGCGGTACATCCCCTGGTCGTGGGGGAGCTGCTGGAAGCCGAATTCAAGGAGGATGGTGTGGAGGTATTGTTGCCATAGGCGAGGCGCTTGCTTGATGCGGAGATAACTCTAGCAACGGGAGCTTGACTACAGGGAAGGCACGTGTGTGCGAGTGATCTCTGCGTTCGTTCACTTAGTCGTTTGCTCGTGTGTTCTCTGCTTGCACATTCACGGGGAGATTTTGCAAGAGTTTCACTAGCAAAGAGGGACAACAATGATAGCAACAACGTTGGCAACACAGACTACATCAGAGCTAGCTAGGCTGCTGGTCGACCTCCAGCGCAGCACGGTCGACCGCGTTCCAGCGCAGCAATGCTCGCAGCGCTGCAGAGATGCGGCGCGCCAACGTTGCATGTCCACGATGTGCCAACGCTGCAGCAAGTCGGCTGCACAGCGTTGCATTCGCAAGACAACGGTGCACCTGCTTCGCAAGTGTGCGCGGCTGGTTAACGTCCAACTCCCAGTCATGTGCCCAGCGCAGACATTCCCGCCCGTGACGGCGCCCATCAGCCACGTCGACCTCGGGATACCACCCCCGAGGTCGTCCTCGCAGAAACGTCCCCCGCTGACCTTCGCACACGTCGCCCGGGTATCCCGGTCGACCGGGCAACCCCGCCTGGTCGTCCAGCCCAGTCGGACGCCGGCTACGCCAAGCCCGGCGTCCCCAGGTCGGCGTCCTGGCGTCCAGGTCGGCGTCCACTCGCCCAGGGCGCCTTCCAGGCGCCCAAGCCGGCGTCCAGACGCTCAAGACGCGGAGCAAGCGCCTAGGTCGGTGTCCAGCCTCCCCGGACGCCAAGATGTCACCCAAGTCGGTGTCCAGGCGCCCGGGACGCCGAGGTGACTCCCAGCTCGGCGTCCAGCCTTCCAAGACGCCGAGCAGGCGCCCAGGACGCCGTGCAGACACTCTGGTCGGCGTCCAGGCCCCCAGGACGCCGAGCAGACGCCCTGGTCGGCGTCCACCTGCTCGGCGCCCTTCAACCAGACGCCCACCAGCTCCACGCCCTTGCAGTGGCCCCCGTGCCCACTGCTGCAGGTCGGCTGCACGGCCCCCGCACAACCGACCACGAGGTCGGCTCCGCCCAAGCGAGGACGGGGCCAAACACAACTCCCGTTGACACTTGATGCCGTACAGTGACTTCTGGAGAAGACAAATAGCGTCGCCGTCTTCCTCGAATGCGTGCGGCTGTTCGACGTAGATGATGGCGTCGACGATTGCGTAAAGGCATTGGAGGCGTCGATTTTGCGCAAAAGGCGCTGCTTGACGGCGGTGATGCAGAGGAGAATGCACACGGAGGTGTGACGTCCGACAGGTGCGAAGGACTGATTGTAGTCCACGAACTGGGTTTGCTCGAACCCACGGACGACCCAGCGCACCTTGTATTTATCGATGGTTCCGTCCGCTAGAGTTTTGATCCTGAAGACCCATTTCTCAGTGAGAATTTTCCTCCCCTTCACGTGTCGTCGTGGGACCAGTTTCCAGGTTCCACGTCGCTGGAGTGTAGCGACTTCTGCGGCCATGGCGGCTCTCCACTTCTCGGCATCGGGCCCGCTGAGGGCTTAGCGAACAGTGGTGGGCTCCACCAACTACTGGTTACCTTGTACGACGACGGCGAGTCCGAGGATGCGAAGACCGGTGAGGTTGGATTCTGCTGCATTGGTTACTTCGACCACGTCGTCCTCATCGTCGCCAGGGATGTCGCGAATCGTGTCACGAGAAGAGTCGCGAGCTGGGTCTTCGTCCATGGGTGAGTGCGTTTCCGCACTTGTGTAGTCATGTTGAGCTTGTACTGCTTCGCGGGAATCAGTGTTCGTTGGGAAGAAGGTGGGTGTCCCGAACTGCTCCGTAACGGGTACAAAGGGTGTGTTATCTGCTGCTTCTTCGTCCGGCTGTTCTCCTGCCACGTCGACGTTGTCCTCGTCATTGGCGTAGCTGTGCTGCCCCTGAAAAATGTTGTCTGGTGCCTCCTGTGCAGTGCGGTGCTGGCGGTACAGTGGCAGGGTCAGTCTTTCGTAGAAGATGCAGTCACGTGAACGCGTGAGCTGGTGGGTGGCGAAGTCCAGAATTGTCCAGGCGTGGTATTCGGATTCGATTCCGAGGTGAATGCCCCAGCGGGCACGGTCTTCAAATTTTCCGGTTCGGGCAGTGTGGGGTCGGT